TACCACAGACCCATCTTAAGCGTAACTAATTTAAGTTAAATAAGCAATGTCTTAATCAAACTTATCTCAATTGTAAAGCATGTATAAAGGAAATATTTAGAATAAAGCCAATATATAAACTTCCTTTCCGTATAGACGTATTTACGTCTAATTCTCCGGAACCGTGGTTCCACTGACAACTTTTTTATTATTATTATTCTGAAGTAGTTAAGTCAGATGTCACAGCAAAAGAAAAAAACTGCTATTATGTGGACTGAAGTTGAATTTCACTGTGTATGGTAATGCTCAGACATCCAACTGAAGTTGGATGTTGAAGCTGTAGATTAATGGATTCTGTGTTAAGGGTGTTACAAAGAGTTCAAACAAGATTTCCCTGGCCACTAACACACAGTTCTGATGGCTGGACCATAAATATAAATTTTGAAAACCCATGGCTTCTGCAAGTAAATGAGTTAGCACCATTTGATATAACCAAATTAAAGTGTTATTGAATGATGTGTCCAGTGATAGTAATGCTGAATGTGATTTCTGAAGAAAGCAAATTGGAGTGGGAAGTGACCAGTGAAGATGTTGCTTCCTCGTCATTAGATGAAATTATAGTGCTCCGGAGATAGGGATTAGCTCTATCTAGTGGGCCCAACAGTGTAGGAACCTGAAGACGGAGATAAAGTCCCATCTCCGAAACATCGTTTTATGTTTTATATTTACTAGACGATGGATAATATCCAAGGAAATTTTTATTCAAATGACTCTTCACCATCGTCAAGAAGTTGTAGATTTGATAGATATGTCACAGTTTCATTAACTCGTGCCTTATTTTAAAGTAGTTGTAAAATGAAGGAACTGAGGAAGCTCTGAAATTCTAAAACAGGATAGGCGAGCCGATTTGTAATTTTAAAGTAACAGAAAATGTAAGTTCTGCAGAAAAACAAATCAACAGATTCGCGTATTTGTTTTAAGGTGCGTTATATATGAACTGAACATACTGTGGGCAAAGTTTATAACTTGCCATACTTCAATATTATAATTTAACAATCATCACAGTTAATATTAGACACACCAAAGCACTGCAGCACGAAATGAACTGAGCATTCTAGTTTGATCTTTAAACATCACGAACATGATTTCTTTCGTAGGACATAGCTCCCTCCACAATTAACCTTTTCATGTTTCTAACAAACGTAAACATTTGTGCTAACCTTTCAGCGATAAAGATGGAAAACGAACTAAAGTGATTTTAAGAGAATAACATACCAAGCACGAAACAGGAACTAGTCGCAGTAGTAATACTGGCAGCACTGAGAAGCAAAGCATGGTTCAGGTTGAACCAGCCTTCTATAATGGCATTCATGGAAACTGCGAACAGTGATACCAGAAGTGCAGCCACAATGGCTTGAATCTAAGACAAAAAATTAAAACTTGAATTCAAAATCTACAGTACGTCAACTTCTTCAGTCACCGTCACAAATAACTCACTATGTGCATTACAGGATTTCAGTGCAGTTTTCATCCAATTACACTGACACACACAATTTATTTTCCCCCACGTACGAAACACGATCCAAGTCTTTTATTGCCGATAACAAATTTTAAAAAAATAATTTTACGAACACCCGCAGATTTTTAAAAATTAAAAATTGTCAATCTTAATATGGCTGGCTTCTGGGTTGTTGTATCGAGTAGTTTGGTACACCGCGAAAACCCAGAAAACAGCCACCTTCAGATTCACCACCATGAAAACCTCAGATCCTGTCAATCTTATTTTAATTTTATTTAAACTCAATTATATTGATAAATGAAACATAGAACTTTGAAGTTTTATATGTTCTATCTGCAAGTCAGAGCTTGTTCCTGCTGCGAAAGAATACAAATACTTTCATCTCTCATTACCGGCTCAGACAGCATTCGGAGATGTCTTCAGCAATTTCTTGAGAAACGATAAAGCTGACAACTACCAGAAAATCGTGGAAAGATTCCGCCAGTCACATGAAGCAATGGGGTGCAACATGTCACTGAAGATTCGCTCACATCTGGATTTCTTCCCGCAAACTCTTGGTGCAGTTAGTGACAAACATGGAGAGAATTTTCACCAAGACATTGCCGTCATAATAAAACAGTACCGAGGGAAGCGGAGCATTGACACGCCGACAAATTTCTGCCGGACTTTTTCCAGCTTCAAAATTTTAAAATAAGTACATAATTGGATTCACACATGAATAAAAATTGTTTTTTAATTAAGAATATCTTTTTAATCAAGGATGATAGAAATATTCTGAAGAAATATAAATACAATTGAGGACGGTGTGTCATACATAGGGGAAAATAAAACAAACTGTATATCAGCGTTATTGACGGACTGTAATTCCCAAGTTACTTAGCATAACGTGAGTGACATGCCACCCGTTACCTGCACCACCGCAACATTGCCAACGATCATCTTCCACATTTCGCCCCAAGAATCCATTTTGCCCATATTGGCTTGGGTCGAGAGGCGTGATGCGAGGCACATGTCCAGGTTCCCTTTCAACCCTAGCAGTGGCGGCACCAGTATGAGCAGAGCAGAGACATCCTTGAACACAGCCCACTCCTGAAACCCAACAGCACTAAATCTTCTTTTGATGGAGAAATGTTTATCAGCGCGGAGACATTTAACACGCATGGTCCATGCTCACGGGTACAAATTTGGAATTTTGATCTTCTGGGCTCTGACAAGATGCAGTCTTGCAGGTAATGACATTTCAGAGGAAAATATCGCAGCAGTAAAGACGAAGGTGACGAGTGTCATAACCCATTACCAAAGACCATGATTTTACTAAACTGTCTGATGATGGGTGATCATTTCATAGGCTGTTATCATTAATGCATAAACTCCAAAGAATAATTAACATTGGATGAGACAAGAGGATGTGGGAAGTGACAGTGGCCTATTTCAAGACACTCTTCCAGAATTCGCCCAGAGATCCCCCCGGGGGGGGGGGGAGATTAGAACCGGCGTTAACATGTCTGGAAAAAATTCATTATCCTCCAACTTCCACCTCGATGCATACAAGTGTGACAAGACAAGTCTGTGGCCGATCTTAAGCCCAAATATAAAGCAGATCTGATCAGGCCGGATACCCATCTGAGCGACGGTACTACTTCGTACTACTCTTTGCTGTTTCACGAAGCTTTCTAATGCGAAACTCCGATACCACAATCAACGCAGGCGTACGCGACATTTTTATACACGCAGCCCAAACTATTTCCCGTCGGTATGCGGTTCCAAGTAGCCTGTACTTGCCTGAACGTAACCCAGGGTGAGTCCGGCGCCTATCGTGCCGACGCCGGCCAGGAAGAACGGCACAGCCACCTGAAGCGTCGTACTCCACCAGCGTTCGGGCGTCACGGCACCGTTCTCCAGCGAGGTAAGGGTCGCTA